GCCGCAGGTGCTTCCGGGCAGCGGCGGGTCACTTCCGGCCCAGACCGGAAGAAACCATGGAGCAAAGGCTCCGAGGCTAGAGAGCCGCAGTCTGGACCATAGAGAAGAGGAAGTCACCAAGGTCGGCCTGGGGCCGGACAGGGACTAGGTCCGGCCGAGGGAATGGACACATCGCTGGCTGGGGGCGAACGCTCTGTTAAGGGAGCGAGCATTCTGCCGGCTGGGCAAATAAACCGTGGGCCCGGAGAAGACAAGGCTGGCGAATGTGCCCATGTTGGGATCGGGCTGGGTGGTGGACATCCCGAGACGTCTTACCCGGAGGTGTAGCCTGGGAACCGTTCAGCGCGGCCACCCCAGGTTTAGAGTCGGCGGTAAGACGCAAGACATCCTGACCGAGTGGTAGCCGGAGGTAAATGAGAAAGAAACCCGAGGACAGACTTAGTAACGAACTAGAAAGCAGTTCTGGGACCCCTCTCCCCCCACACCACCTCGAAACAGCAAAAAACCCTCACCGGCAGTGAGCCCCTTAGCGATCCTATGAAACACTGTAATGCTTTATGGAAGTCGAAAGCCCCCTCTTTCTCCCTCAGAGGGGTTAGTTGGGTGGTTAGCAGCCCAACGCATAAGCAACCTCTTCAAAACTCAGAAAACCAAACTCACTGCAATTCGATGCCGATTCACTGATTCATAGTGACCCTGTAAGACAGGGTAGAACCACCCCCTTTGAGTTTCTGAGACAGTGCTTATGGGAGTAGAAAGCCCCATCTTTCTCCCATGGCGCGGCTACTGGTTTTGAATGGCCAACCTCAGAGCCCAATGAATAAGTACTATGAAGTCAGGGTTCCTTTAAAAACAAAAAGTGTTCTTAGAGTCTAGACAAGGTCCTCTCTCACCTCTCGATCCTGCCTATGCTTAAAGTGCCCTTCTCACCTTTTGAGGGGGACCCTCTTCATCTCCTTTGCAGTGACTCTACTCTAACTTTCTGCTGCTGCTGAGGTCGCTTTTGCTTACAGTTGACATGGGTGGAGCTAGCTAGTTCCCCTTTTGACAACCTGGTGCTGAGTCTTGGAACTGGGATTCCTCTGCAGGACCAAATGCCATGGCCTTCACCAAGTCAGCCTTCATCTCTCCGGGAAGGTTGGTGGAAGGGTGGGACCTGAGGTCCCAAGACCTACGTGGGCCACTTCCACCAGAATGGCCCACCAGGCTGCCTTCTGGACCCAGGGTCAAGCTCTTAAGAGCAGTGGGCTTTATTGGGAATCACCTGTAAATCAGAGGAGTCTGGTGGCGCAGTTCTTACACACTGGATTGCTAAATGACAGGCCAGCAGTTTGAAATCAGTGGCCACTTGGTGGAGAAATACAAGGCTTTCTACTCTTGTAAAGAGTTGCGTCTGGGAAACCCACAGCAGCGGCTCTACCCTGTTCTTCAGGCTCACTGTGAGTCAGCATCAACTCGATGGCAGTTGAGTTTGCTTGTTTTGGTAGATCACAGACTATAGACGCCCCAGTTCCACACCTAGAGATTCTGTTGTAATTGGTTGGGAGTGCGGCATAGATACTGGGATTAAAAAATAAAAGGTTTCCTTGAAACGGTTCAGGCAAGAACTAGTTATTCTATCTTGTGATTTAGTCCAGGGCATTTGGACTAGGGGAAATGGAAGAGGGAGTGCTCTCTCTCGAATTCCCCCCCCCCCCATTCTTCCTCTGCACCATTTCATTAACTCCTCTTCTACAGGGTTTCAGTCGTTTTGCTTGGAAATTTCTGAGTTTTTGCGGATGTGTATGCTATGTACAGGTAAGGCACTTAGTGAGGAAGTGACTGAGTATTGCTCAAACAACACATCTGTGTAAGCAGCCCCCAGACAAAAGACACCCCCACCCCAGCCCCTTGTGCCCCCAGGCTGTCTTGACTTCTAGGGGTACAGAATAGCTGGCCCATTTTAGGCGTAAACTCTGTTCTTTGGCACTCAGCTTCTTTGCCTCCACGCTGTCGTTAGGTGCCATTGACTCAGCTGACCGTCAGCAATGATGGCAACACAAGCTCACTGACATGGAGTTGATGCCGACGCAGAGGGCCAGGGCCCCTTTCATGCCCTCTTCTGAACCGGCCTGAACAGCTCCTTGATAGTGTGCTGCTGCGATCCTTGTTGGATGATCTTCAGCAAAGGGGTGATGTCAGGGCTGCTAAAGGACTGCTCTGATCCTGGGACATAACGTTGAGTTGAAAGCTTTCGTTTGATTTATTTTAGTGCTTTTAAGATATGCTGAGTAAGTTCATTTTAGTTTTCTAACTCTAGGTCACTGTACATTTCATTATATTTTACTTTGTCTTCTTGAGCTGCCCTTTGAAATTTTTTGTTCAGCTCTGGCTTCATCATTTCTTCCACTTGCCTTAGCTACTCTATGATTAAGAGCAAGTTTCAGAGTCTCTCCTGACATCCACTTAGATCTTTTCTGTCTTTTTAATAACCTTTGCTTTCTTCCTGAATGATGGTCTTGATGCCCTCTGATAGCTATTCGGGTCTTCTGTCATTAGTGTTCAGTGCAACAAATGTGTTCTTAAGATGCTCTTGATGGGGGAAAGACTCAAAATCATGTATTGGCTCTCCTGGACCTGTTTTAATTTTTTTATTTAATTTTTCAACCTGAACTTACACGTGAGTATTTGATGGTCTGTTCCACAGTCAGCCCTGGCCTCGTTTTAGCTCTGATAGTGAGCTTCTCCATTATCTCTTCCCACAGATGTAGTCATTTGATTTCTGCACGTTCCATCGGTAGAAGTCCACGTATATAGTTGTGCTATTAAAAAAGGTATCAGTGATGGACATTCAAAACAGCACAAAACAAAGCTCTAGGAATTGATGGAATATACCAATTGAAATGTTTCAACAAGTTCATGAAGCACTGGAGGTACTCACTTATCTCTGCCAGGAAATTTGGAAGACAGATACTTGGCCAGCTGACTGGAAGAGATCTGTATTTATAACCATTCCAAAGAAAGGTGACCCAGCCGAATGCTCAAATCATATCACAGATCATTAGTACCACATCTAAGTAAAATTTTGCTGATGACCGCGCAGCAGTGGTTGCATAACTATATTGACAGGGAGCTGCTAGAGGTTTAGGCCCGATGTGGACAAGGGGTACAACTGCAGATGTTAGATGGATCTGAAAGCAGAGAATAGCAGAAATATGTTTACTTATGTTTTATTGATTGTGCTAAGGCACTCGACTGTGTGGATCCTAACAAACTATGGATGGCCTCGAGAAGAATGGGAATTCCAGAACACTCCATTGGTTCATGTGGAACTTCTGTACATGGATAACGAAGCAGTTCTGTGAACAATGAAATACTGTATGGTTTAAAACCAGGAAGGTATCAGGTTGTATCCTCTCACCATTCTTACTCCATCTGTATGCTGAGCAAATCATCAGCGAAACTGGGTAAAATAAAGAATGTGGCAGCAGGATTGGAGGAAGGCTTATTAACAATCTGCGATATGCAGACAACACAACCTGGCTTGCTGAGTGAGGGCTTGAAGCAATTGTTGAAGATCCAGGAGTGCAGCCTTCAGCATGGCGTACAGCTCAATGTAAAGACCAAAATCCTCATATCTGGAACAGGTCACATGATGATGATCAATGGAGCAAAGATTGCATAGTCAAGGATTTTGTCTGCTTGGATCCACAATCAATGCCCACGGGAGCAGTTGTCAAGAGATCACACGACACACTGCAGTGGGTAAATCTGGTGCACAAGACCTCTTTAGAGTGTGGAAAAGCAGGGAGGGTACTATGAGGACTAAGGT